CCCCAAAACCCCAAAACCCCAAAACCCCAAAACCCCAAAACCCCTCCTGATTTGACATTAATTGAAATTCTAATTCTCCCAAAATTATTGAGGTTCTTCTTGGTCTTTTGGTTCATTTTCTTTCTGTGTTGCTTCTATCAGTTCCCTCTCTTTCTTGATCTTGATCTCATTTTCATACTCATAGTCTTCAATCTCTGGTACAATCCAGTTCATATTTTGTTGATAAAAGTGGGAATGGTCCTCCTCTTTCTCTAGCTCAAAAGTTAGATCATGCTCCTTGCTACTCATAACTTCTAGATACTTCTTCTGCTCTAAAATAATGTTCTGGATCTTCAATTTTGGATTCTCAGCGTATTCTGTGAAGAACCTGTAAGCATAGGCTTTATTTCTAAGATTCGTGCCTACTTTAGAAAGGAAACTTTTCTCTTCCTGGTTCAGACAATCCTTGTCGAACAGAGACTCCTCGTCTGCACGGTGGTCCATCTCTCCACTAGTTATCAAGTTTATGTTATTGGCTACAATGATGTCCTCTAGATCAGTTCTGTGTCTGGAGTTTACTTCAACTGGAATGTTCAAAATTGTGGGCTCCTGCTCTCCTTTTATAATTTCATAATTTACTTCTAGAGGCTCGATAGGAGTGAAATGTCTGTGGAGGATGCTGTTAATCTTAGAAAAATCAATGGTTTCTCTCATAAACACTTCTTCCATTTCTTTGTTTCAATTAATTATCTTCCTATTATCTCTGTCTTGGAGCCTATTAAGCTTGATATACTGCCAGAGTGCATAAACTATAGTGATAATGCTTCCTTGCTGGATGTCGATTAGTTTAGAAAGTTTCTCAGATAGCATGAACTCTTTTGGAGAATATTCCTTGAAGAACTTGATTGAGATTTTGATACTCTCCTTCTCTGGTATCATCGACCTAGTAATGTCAATAGCATCATAGCTTCAATTATCTGCATTGTTTAGCTTTCTCCAGTCAATATTTAAGTAATTTGTCTGGTCTTCTTTCTCAAAATCAATGAAGATCTTTTCAAAGAAATTAAGCATTTTGTAGTCATCTCCTTGTAAAGCCTTCTTTTGCTCGTTCTGCATTACTCTTCCCTGGATACGTAAATTCCATTCATTGCTCTTCTCGTTATAAGTAGAGGAGATTTTAATCTTCAAGTTCTGCTTGATTTTGGTAGGAGGCTGCAAAAGAGACTCCTTCATTGTTGTAAGCTTATCACGAATGAACATATCTAACTTAGAAGACTTCTTCTTGAGTCTTCGATACTGATTGAAAATATTAAGTTCTGAAAGTTCATTTATATCCTCAATCTTGTTCTCAAACTCTATGGTTCTTTTCTTCTTGTCTTTAAAATATTGGCCTACTTTCTTGGCTGTGCGCTTAAGAATTTCTTCTTCCTTCTTTAGCTTCTCTTCGGCTTCCTCCTTCGGGTCTGGTTCTGGAAGAATATTGTTCGTATCAATGTAGTTCAACTCTCTTGTGCTAGCACGCTTTGGGATTATCAGTGTTTCCATAGATTGGTCTTTGGCTTTTAGTGAAGAAGTATCTAGGCTTTCTTGGATGTGTTTAGGTCCAGAAGAAATGCCATCTCCGCCTTCAGTATCTTTAAAACGTTTCTCCGATTGCTGGGGCTCTGTGGGAGGAGGTCCCTCCTCCTTTATTTTTTGAGTGGTAAGATTTTTGTCTCCCTCCATAATTAATTAATAAAATTCTTAACTCAGCAAATAACAAATTATAAGGGGTTTTGGGGTTTTGGGGTTTTGGGGTTTTGGGG